ATTTTTACTTAATTACACTAGTAATTAAAAGCCAGATGCATATAATCCAATTTTGTCTTAAATTACATATCAATATAAGCATGCATGCAACAGCACAGATGCATATGAACATTGAAGATCTCACTTACAATCTTGTCACTTTTTGGATGTTGTAAGAGCTGTTGGTACTCTGCCCACATCCACATGGCCTACCCCAGAAGTCACCTACAAACAGTTCCCTCTTAAGAAAAAGCTTCTGTCCTCATATGAGACCATTTTCCGTCCAGGAGTAAGCCTACCTCCTGGCCCCCTTCCTTGATCTTCACAAGTTCATTTCCTGTTCATTCTTAACTAAATTTCTACTCACTTGACTAACATCATGCTCACATGGCTTAAAATATTCTCCTCACCTTCTTTTGTGTGAATCCTGTCTTCCTCAGAATCTAGGGGAACTCAAAGAATGACCTCCCTAATTGTTCACTCTTCCACTTACCCTGAAACTCTCACTGGCACTATTAACATAATTTTCCTACTAGGTGTCCTTGTTTCTGGTATTATCTCCAATTTGTTTGCTGCACAGCAGCCAATATGATTTTTTTAAAACAGTAATTAAATCATGTTAGTCTCTTGCTTAAAATCTTCCAATGGCTTCCTCTTGCACTTGAAGTCTAAACACCTCACTGTAGCCTATGATACCCTCAAAGCCTCTGTCGTCTGCCTTCCTCTTTGACTTCAACTCATACCATTCTCTCTCTCACCCACTCCATTCCAGCCACTCTATGGTTTTCTGCTGTTCAAGTACACCAACTAAAAAGGCTGCTGCACTTACTATATATTCTAGCTGGGTGTCTTCCCCCAAATTTCTGCATAGTTGGTTCCTTCTCATTCAAATCTCAACTCAAAAGTCACACCTTCAAAAAGAACTTCTGAACTGTTTAAAGCAGTCATTCTAGATCACATTTTCTTATTTAATTTTCTTTATTCCATCTATCATTATCTGAAATTGGCTCACTCTGTGAAACTTTTTTATTGTATGTCATACTAGTAGAAGGTCCATGATAGCAGGGCTCCTTCCTGTCTTATTCATAAGCAAGTCTCTGTGCCTGGAACTTAGTAGGTGCTACATACTCAAGTAATCTTTAGGAGATAATACTTACAATATCATACTGCTGGTCATTAAATATAACCATAAAATGTTCCTTCATCCTTGTTAACAATGAAAAGAATGATACATTACACATTTTCTCAATGAAAAAAATGATGTGAATTTATTCCTGCCTAATGAATCAGTCCTTATGGGAACAAAAACACATATCAGGAGACAGTGTCAATATTCCTCTGGAACAAAAAGTTCTGGTATACTCATACCATAATGAGTAGTAGTGGCTGTATATAGTAAAAAAGGATGGTGAATTTTTATTTACACTAACTTTTGAGCCTTCAAATGGAATCTATCAATTTACACTAAACTTAAAATCAAGAATTTTGGTGTCTAAAGCATAAACTATTATAATTAAAATCAGAGCCTAAAGTTTTTTAATCTCAATTTGGTCTTTGAATGTCAAACTCTAAAATTTCTATTCTCCTTTGCTTATGCCATAATGAATTATTTTCCTTGTTTGAAACTGTGGGGTTTCATATTTTGTTGGAATGCCACCTCAAAATAATCAGAATTTCAACATTTCAAGATTTTTTTTTCTAATCAGGAAGTGGGAATTAGCAGAACTTCTCTGCTTTGTCTTTAGCCTCTCTTACAGTACAGCTCTACTGTAATCTTGATATTTCAAAGTAAAACTCTTCCTGAACCCAGTAGATAAGAAATTTTTAGTGTCTGTTTCTAACTGTTCATGAGTGAAGGCAATCAAAAAAATTAATAACAATGGAAGCTGAATAGGTGCTGGTAGAATTTGTGTTATTGTTTTTTACTTATAAATTTTATTCCTCCACAGCTATTTTATGGGGTTCAGTTACAGTGGGTAACAAGTATAAGAGAACAACCAAGTTTCACTTATCATAACAATACTTTTGGACTTCATAATTATTTGGAAAGTGGAATGAAGTAAAATGTTTATTAAATTTTACTTTAGTCATGGTCTCCCCACCCCAACAAATACACACACATGCATGCATGCACATATACATATATGCACATGTACACACACACATACACACACTCTATATGTAAGTTTGCAGGACTGCCCAGAAGCCTAAAATCCTTCTATTGTTTTTCTTCCCCATAAAGAAAAACAATGGTGATATGATACTTGCAGTGTAAGTCATTACAGGTCTGATGCTACAGTTGTTACACATTATTGAATCTATCGAATGAAAAGGGAGCACAAAGGGAATTTCCAAATGCAGCTGCTATTTCCCATTTGTTAAATCCTTTTATTATACCATATAAGTACACAGCTGGGAAATACTATAGAGTGGGAGTTAAAACAAAATATTTTGGCTTCCAGACATTCAGAATACACAAAGGCTCCAGTGGAAGGCATTGCTTGATATCAAAAGAGAGTGAAAGTTTGAAAACATTTCCAGCAAATATGATTTCTTTTATACTAATATATAACATATTTGCAAATTTAAACTATTTTATACTACCATAAATCCCTCTTAATATAAATTTGGTAAGCAAATTATTAATATCTATTTTCTGATAAAATTTTAGATCATAAAACTTTGAGAATAATGCACTGAAGCAATTTGGCACTTGCCAAAATACAAACAAAATTTTACTAAGGAACATAACAGTTCTCTAAAGAAGTAAATTTAAAGGGTATTATTTCTGCCTCAGCCTATATTTTTCAGCTTCATTACTTTTATTTGTCCATGACTATATTTGTCCTAAGAGGTGAAATAGATCTTGAGTCCATCTCTTTTCTGTATCCCAACTGCCCAAAGCTACTACCATCTCTTAACTGGACATCTTAAGTAGACTCCCAACAAGTCTTACTCTTTTAACTCTCTTTCCCATCCATTTGTACTATAGCCAGAGCAATCTATTTGCAATGTTCTAACACCTTTCAATGGTTCTCCATTGCACTTAGATTCAAACCTCACTTCCAAAGCATAATCTATATGGTCTTGGTGGATATAGCCTCTACCAGTCTCTCCAACTACGTCTGACACCACACTGCATCCTCACCGATTACACTCCAGCCACAAAGACTATCTTTCATTTCCTGATATTCACCTATATTTTTCTCACCTCAAATATTTCCTCCATGCTGTTCCTTCTGCTATTTTTACTCTTTCTTCTATTCTTTGCCTGGCTAGTTCTTGTCATACATAGGTCAGAGAAGGCATTCATATCCATCTATTCTAAATTAGGTTTATCCCATTATGTTCTCACATAGCATTCTGCTATATTCTTTTTCTTCCTAACACATTACAATTTTAATTATATACTTATGTATGTGTGTTTAACTTTTGTCCCCTCTCCTAGATATTAGTTCCATGAAAGCATAATCATGCATTTTTTTTCACCATAATACAGCCAGCACTGAGTAGAATGCCGAACCCAGAGAAAGTGCTACATAAATATCTGATGACTATATATATATATAGTCGTATATATATATATATAATGACCCTACTATCTTCTCAAAAAGCCAGTGGGTGTGACTAACTATCTACTTCACCCTTACTATCTTGGCGGTACAAAAATGATTATATTCAATCAGGAAAACAGACTGATAGTCTCGTCTTATTATACTTTCTCTTTCCCCCATTCAAGAAAAATAAATCTTCCAGTGGATCTATTAATTGTATAATGATAATCCCCTATGAACCTAAAGTTAGTCTAGAAAAGTCTTATTTTTCTTTCAATCTCCTACTTTTCACCTACGGCTACAGAGCACTAGTTGTGTCTGCAAAATCACCTGAAAAGGAAAAATGTCTGCCTCCATAATTTATGGAATCATGTCTTTGACATTAAGCATTAAGCACAGAGCAAGAATTTAAACATATGTTATCAGTTGTAAAGGTGTTTTGAAATATTACCTTATTTTTAACTAAAGAATAAAACTTTTCATCACAGACCACTTAAAATATCTTTAATTAACATTAACTAGAAGTTAAGAAATATAAAACAGGCTTTCAATTCCTAATCTAATAAAATATATTAAGGTTTTGGTCAGTTGTAGATGCAAAAAAATTGGATATTTTTGCTTTAAACTAGACAATGCCACTTACTGTGGCTTCTGTTTTGATGGCTAGAAATGGAATTTAGCATGGGAAAGCTGGCTAAGATACTGCATGGATCTGATGTTTCTACCTTCAGGGCAAACTCCTGCAGTCTGATTGAATGATACTCAGGAGCTTTGCATGTCCTTTTGAAATTAATGTATAGGCACAGAAGTGAAAAAAGATTTATCATAAATCAAAAATGATCATTAAAAATGATAAATACCTGCATTTCCTCCACTGAATATGTATTCACCATATGACTTCATTCACAGAGACATGTATGCTTAATAGAATATTTCAATGTTAATACACAGCCACACTCAAGAAATTCAGAGGGGTGCCTGGGTGGCTCAGTCAGTTAAACATCCAGCTCTTAATTTTGGCTCAGGTCATGATCTCAGGGGTTCATGGGTTCAAGCCCCACATTGGGCTCTGCTCTGACAGTACGGAGCCTGCTTGGGATTCTCTCTCCCTTTCTCTCTGCCCCCTCCCCTGCTCCCTTTCTGTCTGTCTGTCTGTCTCTCTCTCAAAATAAACAAACTTTTAAAAAGGAGATATTCAGAAAATAAGATAAACCTCCCCCCAAATTAAATTAAATACCTTTGGCAAGTGGATCTAATAATGGACAAAAACTAAATCACAAACCATTTTCTAATTTTTCCCAGTTGCTAGCACATTAGTAATATTAATATATACTTGGTGCTGGTTTTATGATCTGAACACAAATAACCCTATGATATGTATTTTGAGCTTTCCTTAAAACACCTATTTGTGATGAGGCCATACTAAAGGACACACTTAGTGACAGTGGCCAGATTTTAAAAACTCACCATTCTTTGCTGAGACGACAGCACAGTGTCCCAGTCAGCATCTTGTTGAATGGTATTGACAAGTGTTGGTAGCTCCTCAGAGTGAGGTTTGTTGTGCATTATGGGGTGCAGAGGCAGATGGGAGGCCACATGTTGATCACCACCCTCTTCCTTTTCCCTTGAGGTCAAATCTTGGGTCATGGCTTCCTCTCCATCAGCTGCACAGGCAAATGGAGAGGTGGCTTGCTTGGAAGACATTCTTCTGTAGGAGAAGGAGAGAGCATGGGTTCAAAAAGGCTGTCAATGAAAAAAGAACAAACCATCCCTTACATTTGGCTAATTCAGGAAAAAAAAAAGTAGGTTCTCTAACTCCAAGTTGTTTATGAGCTACTTTAAACCACTGATAAAAACTCAGCTCATCTGTACCACTCTCCCTCTGTGCTTTTAACCCAGCAAACCTCTTCCTAGTAATTGCTACACATCTTCTCCCTTAATCATCCACAAATGAAATTTTCATGGAATAGGTTTTCATAATTATAGTATATGTATGTGTGAATTTTTCCTCCCAATTCTCCCAACTAGGTTATTAACTTCTTATGAGTAATTCAGTTGATGGCTAACAATGGGGGGAGGGGATAAATAAGTGAATGAACTGGCAAATAAGCCAGTTTGAAGAATAATTTCAAAGTACAAAAATTCAAATTTCTCTTATGCTTTATGTAAGAAGAAAAGAAGTCTATGTGGGAAAATATAATAATGAGAGCTCATAATACATGTTGAAAGTCCTAAGCAGATTTGGTCCTGACTTTAGTTTACACCTTGTATTATGAGTGCTAAGCCTAACACTGTTTAGCGCCAATCTGACCCTTTTCTAAAGATCTTCCAAATGTGTCAACTACTGTAACTTAACTTTTAAGTGACATGTTGATTGAGTGGCTTATAATGTTAGATTAGTCTTGGGACAATTTTATAACATTTGAATAGAGTATATGAAACATCTATGCCTCTATTTTATATTAGAAAGTACATACAAAATTCAAAGCATTTACTGTGAAAATTGTAAAATGCCTACTATAGATCATATTTTTAAAACTGCAAAAACAAGAGTTTTTGGGTGGCTCAATCTGTTAAGCATCTGAATCTTGATTTAGGCTTAGGTCATGATCTCAGGTTCATGAGATTGAGCCCTATGTTGGCCTGCTTAGGATTCTCTTTTTCCCTCTCTCTCTGTCCCTTTCGTGCTCTAAGTAAGTAAGTAAGTAAGTAAGTAAATAAATAAATAAATAAATAAATACTTTTTAAAAATCTGCAAAAATAATTACTGTACATTTATCTATGTACCCACAAGTAAACATCGACTGCATTCTGCACAAGGTCTCCATTCTGTGCTGTATCAAGATGATTTTCTTAGCAAAATGTTTAGAAATAAAACCAACAAAAGTTTATAACTTAAGAGACAATTGAGTATTTTTTTCTAAAACTTTATGTTGTTTTGGGTTATAGCATCTTTAGCTCTAAAACTGCTGTGTAATGAAGGAATAAAATCTCCACCTTAATTGCTCTTTAACATTAATTGATTTCATACCATTTTTTAAAAAATGCACAAATCAGTTAACATAGGAAACCACATGAGCATTTTTCAAATTAGCAAATCATTAACTTGCTAGTACTGTTTCTACAGACAAATAAATACTGATTAAAGGGTCTAGAAATCTGAGATTAACAGTTAAATTTACAAATCTGTCACATGCTTTCATGAATATTGCAGTGAAGGAAATATCAAGTGCAAAGAAAAATAATTAAGTTAATTCCAATTTAAACAGTAGTTTTTATGTAGCAGCCCATGTTTCACATAGGATTTAACAGCTAATGCTAAATTTCTCACAATTAATGAGGGGGCTCAGATTTAGTATCCTACAGTGAAAAAAATTAATATAAGATCAGCTAATCTAATTATGCACAGTTCTAAATAAAAGTATTACAGGCTTTTGAAGTGCTTTGAAACATATTAAAATGCTGATACCTACTTATAATAATCATTCTACAAATAATAAAATTTCATCTATTAGATTTGATACTAGAAAATAACATGGGGGAAAGGAAGTGCAGAAGAATATCTATATTCTCTTTGAGGGGAAAGAAATCAAATGTCCTAAAGAGTACCATATCAAAGATAAGTATATTCTTGACTAATTTCTATCAATACTCACAAATAGAAAAATGTATACATATACATGTGGAAAATGATACCAAAGAATGTTTCTTATTGTACAAGGATCATAGTAAAAACCTACAGTAACACCAGGCAAATTATAACTGGGCTGCAAGCTTATCCAGAGTTTACCATGAGCAACAAGAGTGTTTTCATAGTTCAGATAATGACAGTGCCAATAATGTAACCATTCACATTAAAAACAAAAGAATGGATTTACTGCTGCTTTTAAAAACAGTTACATACAATTGAAAGTCATAAGGCAAAACTCAGAGTGACTTTAGCTCCCCAACAAACATCCTCTTATTATAAAGTGGCTTGGCTCCTTCCAATAGCAATATCTGTGATTGTTGCTTTAGTATAAATTAATCATGACACAAAACCCAAAATGAAAAGTCTCTTAAGAATAATTTCAAGTATAAACTGTACCAATGAACAATAGTGCACAATCCTAATTAAACACAACCCTGCAGCTGTAAAAATAGACTAAATCTGTCCAAAGCTGAGTTGAGTTTAAAGGCTGGTTTGTTAGAGTGTTTTTTTAAGGAAGGCTGGGCCCTCAGTCTTAATCAGCCAATAAATTATTTCCTGCAATTACATTAAATAGAAAATTATCTTCAAATGGGGAGTGTTAATTGAAAATCAAAATTCAGAGGGAAGTTTGGAAATTACACGCTGAATACAATTAGTGAGGAAAGGCTTCACCTCTACTTCATCAACAGTCTTCTGGTGATTCCTCCAGTGACCATTCAGGAAAGCTACCTATTTATAACATCACACAATTTGTCTTTTATTTTGCACCTCCAAATTCAAGTGCCTATCAAGGTTGCAAATAAAAGATAGGCTGCCAAAATAAAGCAATATTAAATTTGACTGTTCATCCTCAGTTCACACCATAGTTAGGGGACAAGGAGAGGGGGAAGGTAGACAATAACGGTTAACAACCAGGGAAGGCATACTCAACTTTGAAATCCTTCCCTTTAGCAAAGGAATTAACATTTGTGTTCCAAGAAGAATACTTTAGCATATCATATTTTATTTAATTTCTTGAGTTTACCGTAGTTCTCAGCATGTTCTTAGCAAAGAAAGAGGTGATTTTTGTGGTATTGTCCCACTGCAGGTATTTCCTTTTGATAAAATAGGTGGGCTTCTTTCATTGTTGTTTTTATTGTAGTTTGGTAGTTTTGTTGTATTTTTAAAAGGAAAATGTGTACAAATTCTTTTTAGAGCACAGTTTATTAAATAAGTCTTAAATTTACTGATTATTAGATTCAATTGACTCCTTTTTGCACAATTACTTTATTAAAGAATCCTTCAACTTGTTAAATCCTAATTCATTTCTTTACTTTAGCTTTCCCTTTTAAAACATTTTACTAGACCAAGTGAACTGTTCTGGAAGCTGTGAAGATAACTTGACTTTCGGTAATGCCTTTACTGTAACCACTGTACCATTGTTACTCTCCTTTAGAAACTCAAAAATCAAATATACACTTTTTTAATGGTTTGAAGTGTCATGTGGGATGCTTACTTTTATTTTTAATGCTCACATAATAATTTTTCCTTACCAAAACTTTCACCCCCAGTGTATTAGAACAGCATCTTACTTTAGCTGCTGTCATATAAAACTAATAAGCAAAAGAACTAAAATCCTTGTGAAATGGTCAATTTATATATGACTTTACTTTGTTTTATTTTTGCACCATTATAACTTAAAAATCATTCAAATGAATTGTTTTTTTAATTTGTATTTTAAAAAAATCTCCCTAGTTATACCCCCTGAAAACAGGGGTTTATAATGGAAGTGCTGACACAACCCTAACTAAAGCAGCGCAAATGTTGCCGCTATAATACACAAAATCAAGTTCTATTATTCTAAACTATCCTCGCTCATGGGATTTTTCTTTACTGTGCTCCCAGCCAAACTGCTGAAGCATGAAAAATTTAAATGCAATCAAATGCGCCCAATTCTACTTTACTAGAACAAGTGTCTACAGTGGTACAATCTTAAAAGGAGATGCAACAGATTTGTTTGGTGTTTTTTTTTAACTGTTTATTTATAATACAGTGCATTGGAGATAAAATAAAAGAGGAAATTACACTCACATGGTACTAGTGTATTGACTACACAGAGTACATTATAATCAGAGAGAAAAACTACATTGTCAACTTATCACATTGGTTAAACAAGATGGTTTTCTGGGGCATAGCTATTATCAAGTAAAGCCTCCAAAGAGAATTACATATCTTTGGGACACATGAAACTAAATTCCCATCATGTGTTCCCCGAGTTTGAAATGTCTCTGCCCAGAAGATCAAGTGAATTCCCAGGATGCCAGGCCATTTGGGAAGAACTTCAGGGCTTAGGACTTTTGGGAATGAGATTGTTGGAAATAAGTCTCCAGCAATTGATAATGCTTTCTAGAAAGTTAGTAGGAGTATCTCTAGAAAGATGATAATTATTTTGCTGCAAAAACCCAGTACAAAATCTGAATGTTAAGACCATTACAAACTTATTCAGACAGTAAATTTACTGTACTTTCTTTGACAAGAAATTAAGATCAGCTGGTCCAAGACTTTATAAAATGATAAGGATATGTATATGTATACATTAATCCATCTGCTGTTGTTGTTTTAAAGAAACAGTTATTTGTATATGTTTAAAGATTAGGATTATTTTAAAACAACTTTCTCATAAGCCATCGCCACTTGAAATTACTTCTTTTAACTATTGCTTGGGAAGAATCCATTTCAAAACTATCCTTTGGGATTTAGATAAGTTTAAAAAAGAACCACAAAAATTTATTGGAACAATATTTTTAACCTGATTTTTAAATTTTTTATTTCTAAGATAATTATTAAATGGCATTCACCTTTTAAGTGTATCACATTGATTCAAAAGAAGCTCTGTTTTTAACATAAAGCAACATTTAATAGTTGGTTTACTTAAAGAAAAAATTAAAAATTAAAGCCAATATTCACATTTATTTTTGCAGCTCAGCCCCAGGCTACCAAGGTAGACTTATTTCAGTCAAATAATTTACTGTTA